CTCACTCTCTCTCTTTCCCACTCTCTCTCTTTCCTCACTCTCTCCTCTCTCTTTCTCACTCTCTCTCTTTCTCACTCTCTCTATCCCTTCTCTCTGTCTCTCTCTGCCCTAACTATGCCTCCTAGCGACTTAGGAGGCATAGTTGGGGCATCTGTAGGATTTTCTCTTCTCATTCTCTTAAGGGACCTGTTCCCCAGAACCAAATCCCAGTGGAATACGTGACTATTGAAGATGCTGCATCAATTGCACAGCTTGTAATGTTTTTAATGTACCAACGATTGTGTTAGATGATGTTGACAAAGTTGTTCTCTCTGTAAGAAATGTTTTTGAAACTCGAATATAATTCATGCATAATTAGGTACAAATCAGCAGCAAAGCTATACTTTTACACTTTTTGTATCCTTTTAGTTAATACATTTTGTTACATAAAATAAGGTAGATTATTCAAACTATAATTTAAGCTCCACTTATGACTGGCAAATCAAAAGTTTGATACGAACGAAATTTCCATAATAAAATATTCGAGTGATAACAAATAAAAGAGGTAACAAAACAGATATTTGTCATTTAAACATTCATTACAAATATACAAAAAAGTACAATGAAATGTTGTTTTAATTACCTAGAGGCTAAACAGAAACTTGAAAATTAACATTAGGAATATAAAATCGATTTTGTGTCACTCCGAAAATGCATATTTCCGTTACTTCACATTCAGTTTATGTCAGACTCTAAAGGTAACAACTTACTGTAATCAAATATGCCAATGAGAATGAGTATTTCAGAATTGCCATTATACACACACGCGTGCGCACGCACACATGTATGTGTATGTATATATAATATATATATATATATATATATATATATATATATATATATATATTATATATATATATATATATGTATATATATATATATATATATATATACATATATATACATATACATATATATATATATATATATATATATATATATATATATATATATATATATATATATATATATATATAGGTGTGTATATATCTCTGTGTGTGTATAATCATATAAATATATATGTGCATATATATACTATATATATATATATATATATATATATATATATATATATATATATATATATATATATATACGTGTGTGTGTGTGTACACATACATACTTACATACACACACACACACAAACACATAAATACACACACATACGTACGCACACAAATACTCACAAATACATACACCCACAAGCACACAACACACAGAGAAACACACAAACAAGCAAGCACACACGTCCACCACACACACACAAGCACACACTCAAGCAACCCACCGAGGAACAACACAAGCAAGCACACACACAAGAGGAACACACAACATGTACACAACACATAGAGGAACACACAGCAGAGAGAGGACACACAGCAGAGCACACAAGCACACAGCACACACACACGCAACAACACCACAGAGGAACACACAAGCACACACGCACACAACACACAAACACACGCAAGCACACACGCACACACAACACACACACGCACACAAACACACACACATGCACACACGCACACAACAAACGCAAGCATACATGCAAACAACACAGAGGAACACACAACAGGCTCATGCACACACGCACAGGACACACAGAGGAACACACAACACGCAAGCACACAGAGGAACACACAACACACGCAGGCACACAACACACACACGCACACACACAGAGGAACACACAACACACATAAGCACACACGCCCACACACACAGGAACACACAACACATACAAGCACACACGATTGGTGCAGTCCCAACCCCGATAAAACATACGAGAAAAGAGGTTGCTGACGCCACCAAAAGAAGAGAATAACATTGTTTATAATCCGTCTATCCTTGGTCTTCATAATCAAGCCACTTTATCGTGCCTGTTCCGCATAGTCGTGCTTGGAAACCCGGCCGGCTCATTGCTATAGTAGAACGCAGGGATAGGATTGAACGAAGTCGCCACGCCCTCCAGCGTGTTCGTGCGCCGCCCGCCCTCCTCCACGCCCCTTCGGAAGCGCCCGCTCTTGAGAGCCGGAAACCAGTTGGTGCAGTTGATCATGATGATCATTGCTTCCACTAGCGCCACGCCCGTCGGAAGGAGCCAGAATATGCTAGAACCGCGCGGACAGGGTGCTGGAAGGTCCTTCGCCCGGTTCTTGGGAGGCACTCCAGGTGGCAAAGGTTCTCGAGATGGAGGACTTGTAGTAGGAGGAGGCGCAGTAGTAGTCGGTATGTGCCGGAGACTTGAGGCCTCCTCCGACCCGGCCAGCGTGATCTTCCCATCGACGCCTTTGAGCGTCAGCGTGGATTTGGCCCCGAGCAGCAGCGCCTGGTCGTACGTCTGCCTGAAGGAGCTGACCCAGATGCTGCCCGAGGAGTCCCTCAGCTGGATGGCATGCTTCCTGATGGTGTCGACGGTGGTGTTGATCATGAGGAGCTGGGAGCCCTCCAAGACGAG